ATGGCCATTTAGTCTATTTTGTACTCTTCTTAACATAGCTACTGTAAATGGTTAAATAATTTATAGGAGGAATACTACCAAATTATAAGAAAGAAGAACTTTTATAACAAACTTAGCAAAACAGTTGATCAAACCACATTTAGACAAACGGTCTATAAATTCAACTTTTTTCTTTAGCCTAAAGCAAAAAATTCTAGATACTTTACAGATCGGGATCAATCCATTTTCAAAACCAACAACATCAAAGAGCAAAATAAAGTGCACATCTTGTCCTACCAAGAAAAATAGATACACACGATACTCTTGTAGTTCTGAATAAAATCAATATGCAAAGAACACACTAGAAAAACAACATTAGTGTGTACTGATTGCATTCTGATTCCTGAGAGTGATGCATCTAAATAAATAATAAATTTGTGAAATCTAAATTACTGCAAAAAACCTATGTTACTTATATTACAAATCTAATGCATTGTGCTTAATATAATATTGTTTAGTTTTGACTTAACCTTCAAAAACTAGCCCACATATACAGGGTGTCCCAGACTAATTTATTCACGCTATATCTCTTAAACGAATAGATCTTTTCGAATGGGACAAAAAGTGATATATTCTACGTGTCTTGTAATACACTTTAATATGGCGCAGAAAAAATCATCCCCTAAATATTCATCCGTTAGTTAAAACTACATGAATACCAATGTTATAATCTTTTTTGAAGTACTTTTTAAAAGTAGATATTTATTTAAAGGGGATGCTATTATTTACATTTATTTTTATGGTGTATATTTTATAAAGATTTGAAATGCTTCTAGTATCTGCTGGTAGATACAATTTTTTAGACGATCCTCGACAGTAGTGCGAGGGGACAGCAGGAAGACTCTCAATAAAATCTTTAAATAGTAACATCTGTCCTAGAGTAATTTTAGGTTTGGGATCATGTTTCCCGTTATTCTCACGGTTAACTTTAATTCTTTCTTTAATAGCATACCGTACCAATGATTAATATTTAGATTATTTTTAAAGACTTGTAAGCAAACCCGTTTTTGTATATCATTTTTCAAATGAAAGTGCTGATAAGTTAGATTACGACATGAATTAGAAACTGTTCTTTTTCTCTTTACAAGTACGACATTAACGCAACCATTAATGAAATTTTTCTTATCTAAATTATTACCTAGGTTCCAAAATTTAAAAAAAATACTATTTCTGTCCTCAGTGCTAAGCTATTACATTGATTGACACATTTTTTGCCTAAACATGGATTAGGAAGCAAAACTTTTTCAGCAACGCGTTCGTTTTTATAATTACAATAACTTTCCCCCAAGTTACGTAATTTTCAATGACGTAATAAAATACTTTCCTTTTTTTCTCTTTTGTCCTCTACCTTCAGGTAGAGTGCTTTGAGATAAACTACTTGATGTTTTACTAGAAATTGAACCAGTTGATGAGTTAGAACTAATGCTGTCAATTTCTGTCTCATTTTAAGAAATACTGTCAAGTATGATGAATGTGATTCGGAAAGAATCATTATGTTGTATAACATCATTACAACCTATCTTATCATCAACTAATAAACTAAATACTCTTGCGGCAATATTATTACTGTTATCAGTATCATCACTATCTGAGTAAGGTACAAGCTTTTTATCACAGGTTAATAAATCAGTCTCGTCTTCGGCAGTCTCATCAATATTTTAAAATAAACTGCTGTCAATATTCAAATTTGGACTTGACAGAAAACTGAAATCCACAATGGCATCATCATCTAGAAAAGAACTAGGCATTTGGAGTTTTTGTTCATGGTCTGTTAGTATAGGCTCCAAAAGATCATCATGCTTTAGAGCTTCATTGAGGATCTCATTTTCAGTGGAAAATAAACTATAGTTTTTATTATTTCCGCTATATTCTTGTACATTGCTTTCCGGATTCTCCAAAATAAATTGCAATGCAAGATTTATTATTTTGTGACCCCGAGAAACCATTCTAAAAACCATTAAAAAAAAAGAAGTAAGCGCCAGTCAAATGTCAGTTTTTTAAAATAATATTACTACCAAAATATAACTTTAAATAATAAAAAAAGAAACTATACAACAGAGTAAATATATATTTTATTTAGGTTCAAACCTTATTTAAGTCGGTTAAGTAGTAACTTTTCTATGGCAACTTTAAGGTCATAGTGTATTTTAAATGGCCAAATGGCGGTTAGATAAACGAAAATTTTTTTTCTGAAAAGGCGTAACCGACAGTCGGTGAAATTGTAGATTCTTATGGTATATTATGATTTCTCAAGATAAATAATCTAACTAAACGCTTATTAAAACATTAAATATAATTAATATTTCAAATTATTGTTTACCTTATTGATATAACCACGTTTTCACACCCAAATCGTAATCACCATCTTCCACTACGGATCTTGTCGCTTACTGATTTCGGTGTCTCATCTTTTAAGAAACTCGTTTGGCGGTTAGAAAATTCAAAGCTTGTTTTAGTTGAGTTGGAATTTTTTTACAGCTGCGTCTTTTTCATAGTAGATAGGACGTAAAATGTATTTTATTTTGATACCAAAACATAAATTTAGAAATTTTGGCGCTTATGCCTTTTTGTCGTGACGCCATCGATATCATTTTAATTTATGGAGAATGCCTAAAAAATAGGAGAATTTCCCGACAATTATATCAAGAAAGGTTTCCAAATCGAAACATTCCAAGCGAAGAAACCTTTAAGAATTTGGAACGCTCACTTAGACACATTTTCCTTATAATAAAAGAGGTACAATTGAACGCACAGTAAGATGTAACCAAAACCTTATTAATGTTCTAACATATGTTAATTTTAATCCCAAGCTGTCTGTTCGAACCCTTGCAAGTAAATGTGGCATTCCAAAAAGTTCTGTGCATAGAATTCTCAAGGATTTTAAGTACTATCCTTTTAAAGTGCACTTAGTTCAAGGATTACAGCCTGGTGATGACCAAAGACGTCTTAAGTTTATTGCAAAAATGATGGTAAAAATCAGTGATGATCCACTTTTTTTATTAAAAATATTTTGGAGTGATGGATTTTGTTCTTCTGGAACAAGATTTCAGAATATTTGGGATATAAATGTGTGGTGTGGTTTATTTAATGGCCGTGTTATAGGTCCTTACTTTTTAACGGCACTCTTACAGGTGTTCCATATTTAGATTTTTTAGAAAACATTCTACCCGATTTGCTAGAAGATATTCCTCTTCATCAGCGTCAAGAAATGTGGTGGCAACAAGACGGAGCTCCTCCATATAATGCGAGAATCGTTAGCGACCACCTACAAAACCGTTTTGATAACCACTGGATAGCGAAACAACTCTCCAGAAATTATTTGGGCCGCAGGTTCATGTGATTTGTCACCCCTTGACTCTTTCTTTTGGAGAGCTATAAAAGATATTGTTTATCAATCAAAACCGCACAATTTAGAGGAATTAAAAGAACAAATAAGACAAGCATGTCGCCAAATTACTCCCGAAATTATTCGAGCCGCATGTACCAGAAATCTTCTGGATCCATTCGAAATGTGTGTTGCAAAAGGTGGGTTACAATTCGAATATTTAATGTAAATAATATTAGTTATTTAGTTGGTATTTTGATTAATTTTTTTATGTAATTTTTATTGCATTTATTTTTATTGTTCCTTTAAGTTTTATTGTTCCTAATGTTGTATTTTATTTGTACGAGTAGTATGTTCAATTTGTAATTTATTTTAAGTTTGCAATAAATTGGTTTTGTTTTACTTTTATTCTTTTATTTTGCAATATTGACAATTTATCTAATTTCAGTGACAATACAGCATATTTCTTTTCTATTCTATTTTTTAAGGCTATCTTGATTAATTTAACAAAAATAAAAAATAAACTGATATCTTCTTGATACCTTACAAACCCATTTTATTTAAAAAAAATCGGTTAAATAGATTATAGACGACCACATCCAAAACTATAAGAAAATGTACAGGGTGTTATTAAAAAATTTAAGTTCGTGGTTGTAACTAAGGAATTAATATTTAGGTGATGATTTTTTTCTACGCCATATTAAAGTGTATTACAAGTAGAATACATCACTTTTTGTCCCGTTCGAAAATATTTATTCGTTTAAGAGATATAGCGTGGCTAAATTAGTCTGGGACACACTGTATATAGTTAAATTTTATAAGGCCATTATTGATTTTATACTTATTTTATTTTATATTTATACTTATACTTATTTATCTGCCAAACGTGGTTATGGTTTATATTTTGTAATCAGACAATTTGTAATATAAAGAAAAAAAATATATTTAATTTGACCTGAAAATACCGTTTTTATGCTGACTGTAATTTTTTTTTACAGAGTGAGAAAAATGGGACCTATGGCGTAACGTAATTAGCGGGTGAAAATACATTTTGTGGAAGTGTTTTCTTGATACAATATAAAATAATACAACTAATCCAAGTTCAACACCATACTGGAGAAGAGGAAGTAAATAACTTTTAGATTTGAATCAGTTAAAAAATGTTTGTATTTTATTTCATTTTGCTATCATATTGATAATAATAATATTTCTTTAACGGCTTTAGTAAATTAAAATGAAACTATTTGTAGTCTGAAAAATATTTGATTAAGTAAAATATAACTAACTTTTTAATTAAGAATATAATGAATTATAATACTCTGGTGATTGCCTTGATACAATCCTGATATATGCAATTCATTTTATTCCATGAGAAAAAATGTGTTTATGTAAAAAAAATTACGCAACCGGTGTCATCTTCAAAAATTATTGACTTTTTTCAGAAGAATTTACATACCCGACTTTTATGTGGGTGGGCCCATCACATTTACCAAATTTCGGTGCATATTGTTATAATAATTAATCCATTGACATTTAGGAGCCAAAAATTTGGGGGAAGGGGATTTCTCCTACTTTTCACTAAAATTTCAGATTAATATATATTAACCGATAATATCAGTTGTCAACACAAACACATCTTTACTGAAATAGTACCAGTAATAATAAAAATAAAACTATCAAGATGTTTAAAGTTGCATTGTTTGTGATTGCCTGCTTGGCTTTTGCTCAAGCTAGACCTCAAGCTGACAGCAAAATTCTACGATTCGACAACGATGTAAGGCAAGATGGATACCAATTTGGGTAAGTAGAAACTTTTTTTATTTTAAATCTAATATTTACAGTAATACTATTTCTTTTTTCTGTTTTGTTTTGCATTTACTATATTTACAAACTAATCTGCATTTTAAGCCTACTTGAATGCTACTTAAATGCCGTTACCCTCTAATTTTTGTGTGTTTTTTGATGATGATGATGATCTTTGACGTTTGTAATGGATTTAATTTATTTCTTATCATTTTTATAGGGTTATATATCATATGCGCCATTTTCTCGTTTTTCTAGCAGTTACAGATATTCTACACAAATTTCTTATTTCTTTAATTCTTACTTCGTTTCTGAATCTTATCAACTCTGTTATTATTTTAGGAATACTAAAGACTAAAAATATTTGCCTAATCATTAAAAAAGCTTATCGTCAGTATTTAGTACCCATTTTGTTTGTTTCTACAGACCAAATATTCCAAACAGCTCACCATATTTAATAATCTGTTGTTTCATTTCACTCACATGATCATTGCAGTTAGATGTAAAAGTTATTAGGGTGTAGGGGTGAAGTTCACTATCATTTTAATTATGCAGGAATATCTTCTAGATCTTGGTTACAATATAACATACTTTTTGTCATGTTGTTTTGCTATTACCCCGTTCTAACTCTTTCTAGATCTTTCCCTCTTCCCTTTACCTTGTACTCTTGTCTCCTGTACCTTTTTACTAGTAATTTATGATTTAGTCACTTCAGATGACCCCGCCAAATCAACTGCCTTTTTTTAAAATGTTCTACAATCAACTGTATTAATAATTTATCTCTTATAACGTTACTTCTAAACCAAATTCCGCTAGTCACTCCCTTTGTCAATATCTTATCTTTAAGTAAAAATAATTGGTCTAAATTATATAGCTCTAAAAGTTAGTAGTCTCGTTATTTTTTTCGTTTTGATGATTATTCCTTCTATTGCCTTGTATAATTTATTCACTAAGTCTATCCTTTTATATCCTCTACTTTTTATCAATACCACTAATATTCAAATGGTATTGGCAGTGGAAAACTGATAAATACCATCAGATACGCAGATGACATAGTTATATTGAACGATGACTTAAATGTCTAAAAATTCCTGGTTAATTGTTGTAAAACAACCAAAATACTTAAATATAAATAGATGGACAACCGATACAAACAGTATCAAATTTTAAATATGAATAATATTACCGAACAGTTAGATCTAGATGAAAGGTAACGTGTAGAATTGAGATCGCTCGTACAACTTTTTTTTTTAAATAAGGTCAATATCTTGTAACAATAACTCACAACTTCAACTTCAAAAATGCATGCCTAGGTACATCTGGTTGCATATGGTCAGTTGTCTTATATAGTTTTGAAACTGGGACCATAAAAATATCTCATATTAACCACTAAGAGGCGCTTAAAATGAGGTTTTATACACGAGTAATAAAAACACCATGGAAGGCTAAGAAAAGATTAAAGTAGTTCTCAATAAAGCAGAATTTACTCGTCATCTGATCCAGATTGTCAAATAATTCAAAAAATAGCATACGTAGGACATATAATGCGTAGAAAACAGTATAATATTCTTCGACTAATCATAATTGGTAAAATTAAAGGACGCAGCTGTATTCTTAGATGACAAGCCCTGTAGTTGAAGAATGTCAGAGAATGGACTGCGATAGGGAAAATCATACAACTGTTTAGAATAGCTTAAGACAAAAAGTGTCTTGCCGTGGTAATTGCCAATGTCAAAGGGACGTAAGAAGGCGCTTAGATAGATAGAAGGATCTTAAGATAGAAAAATATCGGAACACAGTGGTTTATTATTTGTTTGTTATTATGATTGTGTATAATCCATCGATTGTTCTTTTTTTATATTGCCAGCATTCGTCAAACAATTATATAAGGTTTACTGGAATTTTTTTATATTTTCCTTTTTGTATTAATATGTTTATCATTATACCTCTATCTGTTAAACCTAAAGTTTATAGACTTTTTCTCTCCTATTCATTCAGTAATGTTATTATATTATACAAGAAAGTCTGATACAAAAGTTTTAAAAACAAGTTTATTAGTCATGATTCTTTCTATATTATATATTTTTTTCAATGTTTAGTTCTATAGTACGGCATTATACGCTATTAAAACTAGATTTTTTATTCAAAGCTGAAAACTACATCTTAAAACCTTGAAAATTTTTGAATGAGCATAATTTTAGATATTGTAAATTGATGCTTTGGACATAATAATGGACAGCTAGTCTGCCTAATCTGTTTTAATATGTAGGTAATGTATTAGAAAATGTTTTCAATACCTATTAATATTTTCAGATTTGAAACCAGCGATGGAATCCGTAGGGAAGAAAATGGAGTCTTCCAAGCAACCTCTGATGAAGAAGGTATTCTAACTGTTAACGGTGAATCAACTTACCCTCTTGGAGATGGTCTTCCCTTCTACATCTCCTTCGTTGCTGACGACAAAGGCTACAGGCCAAAATACGTCATCGGCCAAGGTGCTCCCGGTAATTCCGGTGCTGCAAGAGTAGGTGTTTCAAGACCACTCAACTAAAAACTTTTTGTTAGTGCTTATGTGATTATGTTTTAATAAAAATTTATAATTTTGTTATATCTGTGTACTTTACTTATTACTATATTATAGTGGTCCAGCTGCAGACTGTAGTTCCGAACACAAAATGTTACAAGCAAAATTTCTCATTATGTTACACAGTAAAATAATAAAAAATTAAAGAAAAAAATTGATTCCAAAACAACCGGAAAAGTTTAAACAAGCAGAAGCTGACCTACCAGTGACTCCCAGAAACCTTGACAAAACGTATGAAAAACAAGGAAGTGGATCACTGAAGCTATCAACAATACTAATCCCAAAGACAAAAGAGCTAGGTAAAAACATTTGATGACCGAAGTGACTCTCAATCTTCTAGAAGAAAAACGAAAACTTAGAAACGGTACATTAGATTTAAAACAAAAAGAAATAGAGATACGCACTATAAATAAATCTATAAAACACTTAAGCAGAAGGACCAAAAATAATTATATTAAAAACATAAATGTTTACAACTAGAGGAACATGCTGACCGCCAAGAATCTAGAAAACTTTTCTCAAAAGTCAAGTATCTAGCGAGAGAATTCAAACCGCAAACACAGATTATCAAAGATAATAGTGGAAGTATCATAACAAACTCAGATGGTATCGCAAAGGTGTGAAAACAATATTGCGAAATACTATTCTCTAACAAAGACCCAGATAATAATACAGAAAAAATAAGTTATGAAAAAGAACCTCAAATATTGAAATCAGAAATTGAGGCGGCAATTAAAAAGCTTAATTCTAGAAAATCATAAGGAAAAGATGGAACAACAGCTGAAACACTCAAATAAATGGAAGAATTAGCAACGGAAGTAATGTTTAGAATTTGCAATGAGATTTGGAATACCGGAAAGTGGCCAAGTGACTGGGGTAAATTTACGTTTATTCCCATATATAAAAAAGGTTCACCGGAAGATTGCAGTAATTACCGCACAGTAGCATTGATATCACACGCGAGCAAAGTACTTCTAACCTTCATAAATGAAAGACTAAAATCAATTTTCTTACTACAAATTCCCAAATAACAATGCAGATTCGTCTCAGGTAGAGAAACAAGAAAACTTATTCTTAATATTCGTCAAACATACTTATGCTTTGCTGCCTATTCTAAAGCTATCGATACCGTAAAATGGGATAAAATGTGGCATACACTTAGAGAAATGGGTACTCCGGAAGATCTAATCTATTTATTACAAAAATTATATATAAATAATACTGCTAATGTAAGAGTTAATATTATGGTTTCGAAAAACTTCAAATTAAAATCTGGAGTTTGATAGGGATGCATAATATCCCCTATTTCATTTAATGTATATAGTGAACCTTATACGTCAAGTTTTGGAGGAATGGCAAGGTGGAGCAACGATAGAAGGAAGAAAAATCAACAAACTACGTTATGCTGATGACATTGTTATATTGGTGTCATACTAGAAGAACTGGAACAAATTATGAGTAGGCTAGGCACGGTGAGTACGCAATATGGTTTAAAAATAAATATACAGAAAACCAACGTGATCATTATCGATAGAATCAGAAACAACCAAGCAGAGATAAGAACAATGGCACGTTGCAAGGGGTCAGGCAATTTAATTACTTAGGCTCTGTTATTACTAATACTGGAGCATGCGAAGACGAGATCCGTCGACGCATCACAATGGCCAGATCGGCAACAACCAAACTCACAAAAATTTGAAAGAACACCGACATCACAAAAAACATAAAATAACGTCTTATTCGAGCATTGATATTTCCTATCGCCACCTATGCTTTAGAAACTTGGACAATAAAAAAAGCCGATTCTAAGCGTATAATGGCATTTGAAATGTGGATCTACCGTATACTTTTGCAAATACCACCGCACATCACAAATTCCTCAATTCTAGCAGAACTTAATATGAAAACTAGACTCATCACAACTATCAACCAAAATATACTGAGATATTTTGGACATATACCTAGAAGAAGAGAAGGTACGGAGCGAATGATAGTTGAAGGTAAAGTAGCGAATAAAAGATCCAGGTGATCTTTTACCAGAGGACGATCTCCAGTACGATGGTCGGACCAAATCAAGGAGATGGCTGGTTACTAATTCTCCGAAGCACAACAACACGCACAGAAGAGAGATAACTAGACAAAAATAGTTAAACTAATGACATGACTCCACTATATCTTTACGAGAAAGAAAAAATTGGGGAGGAGGATATTATAGAAATAATAAAGAATAAAATAGGGTTAACAAGATCAAGGGAAGCATGGAAAACCATTACAACAACATGTACATGACTTACCACCGGAGTGGACAAAAGCACATATTAACAATATTTACAAAAAAGTAGATAAAATAATTGTTCAAACTACAGGAGGCTAATTATCATAAATTCACTCTTAAGCCTTAATAAAAAAATAATAAAAATTAAATTTAAAAAGAGATGAGAAATGTAAAAGAACAAATATGGCTTTCATGCAGGCAGATCCTGTATATACACCATATATTATCTTAAGCAAGTTATTGATAAAATATTAGACCCTTACCCTTTAAATAATAACACTTATAGGGAACGAAGAGAAAATATCAACAAAATAGAACGAAAGTGTAATAATCCCCATCCATAAAAAGGGAGACAACCAAGTGCTCTAATTATAGAAGCATCTCTCTACTTAATATGGCATATAAAATCTTATCAAACATCCTACTAGGTGGGCTCACACCGTTTGTAGAATATTTCATAGAGGAATACCAAGCCGGCTTCAGAAAGCACAGATCGACCATAGATCAAATCTTTACTTTAAGACCGCTCCTTGAATAATGATGGGAGTTCAATAGAACTATCCATAATCTCTTTATAGATTTTCGGCATGCGTACAACAGCATTAAAAAATATCAGATGTGGAATGCAACGGTACAACTTCCAGTTCCAAAAAAACTTATCCATCTTGTTAAGTTGTGTGTGAATAGCTGTATATCCAGTGCACGGATAGATAACAAACTTTTAGAATCTTTCGAAATAAGCAGTAGCTTGAAACGTGGAGATGCGCTGTCACCTCTCCTTTTTGATATCATTCTGGAGAAAGTAGTAAGGAGCAGCAAAACTCAAAACAGAATTACTGATAGTAAATGGATCAAAATTACTACTAACATACGCAGATGACATTAACATTGTGGGAAACACAGTCACCAATGTAAAGAAGACTTTTAATAAATTGGAGGTAGATGCAAAGAAAACTGGAGTAAACGTAGAGAAAACCAAATACATGTGCATTAACAGACAAAATGGACGAGATAGAATAGGGCAAAATATTATAATAGACCCATATACTTTTGAAAGAGTGGAGAGTTTTAAATATCGCAGAGCAACAATCACTGCCGATAAGGATATCGCGGAAGAGATTAAAGCAAGAATTCAGGCAGCAAACAGATGTATGTACAGCCTTCACAATACTATTAAATCTAAAAGCCTGACACGAATATAAAATATTAGAGTATATATAACGGTGATCAGATTGGTGCTCATTTGTGGGTGTGAGACGTGGAGCCTTACCAAAGAAACTGAAAGGCAACTTAGATGTTTTGAGAGGAAAATTCTCAGAAGAACCTTTGGGCCTTATAACAACATTAATAGCAACCAATATCAAATAAGAACAAATGCTAAGGTTAAGCAGATGTAAAGAGCGAGTGACATAGTCCAAGAGATTAAATTCCAACGTCTAAGATGAGCTGACCATGTCTATAGACTCTCTAATGACCTTACTAAGTTAATATGGGAGAAAGCCCCCACAGGAAGAAGACCCTTAGGACGTTTATGATGCGATGGAGAGACAATATATGGTCAGATCTAAGAACAATGGGGCTACCCACTAACTCAACTATTATGGACGACCGTTCAAGATAGAAGCAAGTTGTGCAATCAGCCAAGACCCACCCTGGGTTGTAGTGCTACTAAAAGAAGAAGAAGATAACTCGTCAACTTGTAGTCTTTATAGATCTGACAAATGCGAACGATAGTGTCCCAGTTAGTGTCAATGCTCTGGGTTGCAATGAAAAAACCATCGTTTTAGCCGTGTATAACATCATCATCCTTCCTTTCTTCCTTATTATCCTATTCCTTTTCCTGGTCCTCCCCTTCGTTTCGATTTTCTGAGATATCATCTATCATATGGATAATTCTCTGTCTTACTTGTATTTCTTCTTCACAGTCACTGTCATCACTAACACATCCTTCTATGTCGGACAGTTTTTCTAGCTCTTCTAGCAGTTCCTTCTCCGTTAAATATTTAATTGGGGGCATTTTACTTTGCAAATAAAAATAGGACTTAATCATTGTGAATGCAATCGAATTTGAGGTACACTTCTATATTTGAAAAAGTAAAATTTTAATGAAACCATCCACGCGCCATCTGGGTACAAAACGTAGAAATATATTATGTATTTATAGAATGTAATTTTCTTTAAACTCGTTTAAGTTACATATTCCTGCATAATTACATATGCGTTTAAATTAATAATTTTAGTCACAACAGTAATTTATGTAACAGTTTCCGAAAATGATGTTTTCCGGGATGAATAGAAAGTTTTCAGGATGAGCCTAAGGCGCGTCATGCGAATTCCTGAGAATCTTGTCAATTCCGTAAATTCTATTTTGTAGTGTTACGTACAACATTTTTCCTGTAGGCATTTATAAAATTAGTATTATTTAACGCGTCGGCATTTTTATTAGTTCAAAATATTAATTTAATTAATTAATTTAATTCATACCTCTCTTTTGACTTACACTACGACTGATATAGGAGTAGACGTCGCGCGCTAGCAGATTTCAAATATTGTACCGAGAGCTCAGTTGATCGAGAACCGCTTAGCTGTATACAACTGTATACACTTGTATACAGCTTGTATACAGCTAAGCGGTTCTCGATCAACTGAGCTCTCGGTACAATATTTGAAATCTGCTAGCGCGCGACGTCTACTCCTATATCAGTCGTAGTGTAAGCCGCAAAAATTAATAAGTAGCCGTGTTAGCAC